AGAATGTTTTATGTCTACTTGTAAATAGTTTAGAATAGTGTTTTGCATTTGGCCACGTGTTATATCTTTGTCAAGCATTAATTGTGTATGGACTTTGATCACATCTTTTTAATTTGTCGCTACGCTCTTTACATTCAAAATATGATCTTGTGCTACATAATCAAGAATGTACGGTGTCCACGTGTAAATAGTCTAGAATAGTATTTTGCATTTGATCGTGTGTTGCATCGTTGTCGGGCATTGATTTAGTATGGACTTTGATCATAGTCACGTAATTTTTCGGTAAGCCCATTACATTCAAAGTGTGATCTCCTACATAATCAAGAACTCTCGATGTCCACGTGTAAATAGCCAAGAGCATTATTTTGCATTCAATCACATGTTATATCTTTGTGCGGCATTGATTGAGTATGGACTTTGATCACTTTCCATTAATTTGTCGCCATGTTTTTTATATCCAAAGTGTGATCTTGTACTACGTCAATTAAGAATGTTCAGTGTGCACATGTAAATAGTTTAGAATAGTGTTTTGTATTCGATCACGTGTTGTTTCCATTGCACAATGGTTACACTTTACATGATCTTGCTTTTCCATTAAAATGCGAAAACAAAGCATTTTGTTATCTTCTCGTTAAAAAGTTTTGCTCACTTCTTGCTCGTCGATTTTCCAAACATTGAATGAAAAATATGAATAGTTTTCAACATCTTGAGATGTTTCTTTTCTTTTCTTTGTTGCTCCATAATGCAGGGAATGGAGGAAAGTTGTCGATGAGTGGGTTATCGCAAGAGCTGCCACAGCAGGTAAAATCTTATAAATACTAAGATGTTTTTAAGAATCATGGCTTGTAATACCATAGATAATGACTGTTTATGTCTGAAATTAAGGTGACGGAGCTGCGAAAGAATCGACGGAAAAATCAGAAGATCAAGAGAAGGGGGGCCTCGCGACGCCCCCTATGGATGTAGGCGCTCTATCCGCTGCTCCAGCAAAGATGAAGTTATCAAAGGTGCACGATCTGTTCTATTATATTGCTCAATCAAGTTTCGAATTTGGGATTTTTGATCGATTATCAACCAGCTGACTATGTTTTGCTTGTGTTGCTCTTCAATTGGTGATCCATAAAGATCTTCGATGGAATCGACAATGACGGGAGTTAGTCTCATCCTTCACTATATATATCTACATGTTCGCTAGTCATTTTTGTTTCCTTTTCATATTCGATTCTTCCATTTCGATGGATGGTGGTTTCAGAAATCAGAGATGAAGAACATCTACACAAGACCGAGGAAAGTGGCCGGAAAAGGAATTTGAATGATTCATGCCCGAGCATAAAATTCGATAATCCAACCGCGGAAAGGGAAGCCCCACCAAGCAGACCAAATAGGCCCCCCAAAAGCCTACCAGCCCGGGCAAGACCACCGGCCATTCGACAAACAGCCATCCCTAAACAGCCATCTGAGGCTCGGAACGGTCCTAATACTCAAAAGAAAACTCCGGTTTCTTGGCTGAAGAGAGAGGCCTTAACCAATAAACAGGGTAAGAAGCCTGTCTTGTCGAAGCCAAAACCAAAACCCGCAGCTCAAGTGAAGGGCACCATTCGGGATACAAGACCGATGCCTCGCCCCAATGAGGTTAGCATTGGAGCTTGTTGATACATTGTATATATCTTAATCATCTTTTTCTTTTTTTTTTTGTTTCAATAATGCGCGTAATTTACTTACAAAAATGAACTAGCAGCCGAACCGCAACAATGCATCGTCAATCGGGGCGATGCTAGAGATCGCCAAACGGAAACTTCTGGAGCGCAATCAAGAATTGGGAAAAGGTTAGCATTTGATCCTCCAATGTTGAAACCAGTTGACTTCATAATATATAAATAAATAAATTATGCATATCCCTTTAAATTTAACTTTTTAGGTGAGATTGTCATTTAGCACAAGCAATATAAACTAAAACTTGTTGCAACATGAAACAAATAAATAAAACAAGTCGTTGTTAATGAATCCGTGATAAAATGCAGCCAAGAAGCAGAAGACGGAAGAACTGGAGCCGGGAGAGATCAAGCCACAGGCCACCGTTCAGCGTGGCCCAACGCCGGGTGGGACGGCCGTGACAGCCTTCTCCTACAGATGGTGAGTTCGCTTTTGCTGTTGATGGTTCTCGCGGTTTTGTTTTGCTTTCTTGGGGTGAATAAATAGGTGGCTTTGATCGGTTAGAAGTAAGATTTGTTGGTTGTTTAAGGAGCGGAGAAGATTGATTTTGCACAAGGTTTGCACATTTTAGGAGCAATTCTTGTCGATCGTTGCATTCGAAAAATAGTTTTTAGAATAAAAAAAAATTGTATACTTTTAATAGAACGATTCATTGTTATTTATATCATATTATAGATATATATTTATGATTCGTTCTCTTTTAACTTTTTTAAACTATATAATTTTATAATTATTTACTTAAAAAATGTAACAAGTATTTCATTTTATGACATTAAAACCCAAGTCAAAAGAACCAAAAAATAACATAGGTCAAGTTTTTCTATATGATATAGAGTGATTATTCATTTTGATATTTACTCCCTCCAAATACTTATTCCTTGCTTTGTTATCCACTAAAATTTGTATATAATAAATGGTAAATAATTTTATCCACTTACAATTTGTTGTTATTTTTTTAACTTAGTCTTATATTTTTTTATCAATTCTTAAACAAAATTGTTATAAGGTAACATTATATTTTTATAAAATTTTTAATATTTTTTTAAAGTTTTAAATTATTTTTGGTAATTTTTAAGACAATTATAGAGTAAGATTAATATTTTCTACTTAAGAAAGTTTTTAATGGTAGTATTTATAATAGAGAGAAGATTATACGATGATATTGATTTGTAATTATATTCAGCACTGAATTACATCCTAATTATTAATTAAACAGGTTAATTAAATCATTTTAAATATTTTATTGTAATTAAGGGTTAGGATTGATTATCAGTACGTTGAATTTAATATATTTAAGCAGTTTACATGTATGTTTTTCCATTTAAAAGGGGTATTAGACTCTATTCTATTTTTGAAAATGATTTATATTAATGAGAAGTTTCTATATTTTGTATTTTTAGATTTCTTTTTTGGAGTACAAAAACAATTCTAATATTGTTTTTAGTTTGTTTTTCTCTCTCCAATTAAGATCATTTTATTGTTAAATGGGTTAAACAATTCAATTAATCTCTAACTTTCTTCACCAAATTGGGAATCCAAACCAAGAATTTGAATGAAAATATGCCTTCCCACATAAGCCATGGTGAGTTCTCAAAGGTCCAAGAACACACCATTGTAAATGTTAGTTAATACATATCCTAACTTTATATTTATACACTTTATAATTAGCAATATATATATAATCATAGCAGCCTCATACCATAATTTCGAAGAAAATAGTATTAGTATGGATAACTGCATTCCTCCCCGGCCTCAGAATTGGCATCCAGCGGCCATCTTATTCTTCTACAGCCTCGCCTCCTCCAAATATCGCATCAATAATCTTATTTTTTATTGATAATTAATTAGATAATCTAAACTATATGGCCAAGACTTATAAATTATACTTCATTCATCCCTTAGTCCATCTTCAACCCACCAACTTTATTTGTGTAGTTTTAACTTGCTACATATTTTTACTCTAACCTACAACTCTTTCTTTTACTGCAAAAAGAATATTCTTCAAATATTTTCTTTTATATATTATTTTAAATCACTATTTATATTTACAATTAATATAATTTTTTTTTACCTGTCGAGCCTAGTTTGCAGGGTATTAGATTCGGCCAGAGATTTATCCAGTGTACACTTTTGGATAGCGGCTGCAGATTCCACGTTATAAAAAAAATTAATATAATTTTTTTAAAAAAACAGTGAAAAATAATAAAATAATTAATATAAAAATAATTAAGAAAAAAAAACACATACAATTCCATAGGAGTTTTGCGGTGCATTATCTTCTAAACTGATCATTTTTCCATATTACGATACAATTCATTCAAGTATAAAAAATTCCCCCTCAAATACTATTAATATGGCATTCATCAAAGATATATATATTAAAAAAAAAAAAAAGGAAAGAAAGAATGAAAGCAAGAAAAACCATAGAAATGCAAGAAACTTGATAAAAATAAATAGATATGAACTATATGTGAGGCTGTCTTTATTTTAGAATTCACTTTAAAAAAAAAAATTACCATGCAATCCAAATGATTTTTATATTTTGTAAACTATAACATTAAACCACTAGTATAAAATACAAAACAAACTAAACAAACAATATATCCATTATATATATGTATGAGAAAAATTTATTACTAGTAATTTTGATTATGTTATATAGTATATTACTAAATTTATTATGCAAACAACAATAATTTAACTAGTATAATTTTTGTTTTAATAATTTATTATTGAGTGACTGCGAAGAAGTATATATTGTACTCCACTTGCGCAAGAAATACTTACATATATATTGTAGGGTGTGTTTCTTTAGGCGCGATTTGGAGAAATTGGATTTAGGTTTGGTTTATATTTGAATTTTTGAGTGAATTTTATTTTAATTGTTTCTTCAGATATGTAGTTTGGTTTGGATTTGGGGGAAATGATATTGTAGATGTAATACAGAACCTAATACTTGTAGTTTACAATTAATCGAACACATACGAAACAAAAAACATCGAATATTTTATATACTTTCAAAATCGAAGGAGTTCGGATTCAGTTTACCCAAAGTTCCGACCGAATAGCAACATATACACACTACCTGGACCCAAACACTACCGACATCCACAGAAACGCACAATCAACGCGATTACCAACCTAATCGAAAGAAATCTCAAGATTCTAAGCCTAAATTATCGCGGACAACCAAATAACACCACGAACAGTACATAAAGGCAGAATCGAGAAATCAAACCGAAGAACAGCTTTAGGACAAGCTGTAACACAACCACGATGGATGAACTTCAAGTTCCGATGGCCAAACTCGCCGGAATGCCAAAAACAGGTTGATCGCGTTCGTCGGGGAAGTTAGGGCTGCAGAGAGTGAAATTGCGATATGAAAGAGTGAGGAATTTGTCTATATATATCATGCTGAGTGAAATAGCCGTAAAAAACAAATCAGCTGCAAAACTAAACAAAAACAGCCACACAATCAGCTACATGTTAAATATATCATGCTGAAAATAGAATGTTAAAAATCAAAAGATATAAGCCTTCAAGTTTCAAAGATTCTCCTAATCAAAAGTATCTATATACACTGTTTTCTTACACAAATTGAATTTTGTTATTGATAAAACTTTAGTTCCCATGTCCGCAGGATTATATTCAGAAGGTATTTTTTCTAGTTTTAAAAAACCCTTAGACACTATATCACGAATGAAATGAAACCTAACATCTATATGTTTGGTTCGATCATGAAAGACTGGGTTTTTACAAAGCTGGCTTTCCCGATTGACTATCTGAAAAAAACTGTTATTTCATTTTTCGAGTAGCCTATTTCATTTAATAAACCTTTTAACCACATACCTTCCTTTAATGCTTCAGTTATGGCCACATATTCAGATTCTGTCGTAGAAAGAGCAACTATATGTTGTAGTTGGGATTTCCAATTAACACAAGAACCACACAAAGTAAAGATATACGACATAGTTGACTTCCTAGAATCTCTATCATTCGCATAATTGAAATCCACATAGCCATTTAGTTTTAACTCACTAATGTGTTTACCAAATACTAAACCAACATCAATAGTATCAACCAAGTATTTAAACACACAATTTAAAGCATTCCAATGTTCCACAACCGGATTAGCCATGTATCTACTCAAACAACTAATAGAATACGCTAAATCAGGCCTAGTGCACACCATCAAGTACATAATAGAACCTATAGCACTAGTGTGAGGAACATTCAGCATGTATTTCACATCATTTTCAGATTTTGGGCATTGATCTTTAGATAAAATGAAATTAGAAGCGAGGGGGACAGCAGAGGGTTTAGCATCAGTCATGCAGAATTTATTCAAAATTTTCTTAATGTATGAAGACTGATTTAAAAACAGCATGTTACCTTGTCTATTCCTAAGTATATTCATACCAAGAATTACGTTTGCATCTCCTAGGTATTTCATATCAAATTTCTTGTTTAAACAATCCTTCACATGACTAATGGTTTCCAAACTAGGACTCATAATCAACATATCATTAACATATAATAGCAAGAATATGGGATACTCACATGCTATTTTAAATACAAACAATGATAAAAATTGCTTCTATTAAATTCCAAAGATTTCATGCATTCATCAAATTTTATGTTCAATTGCCTAGGGGACTGTTTTAGTCCATAAACGGATTTCTTTAAAAGGCACACATGATTAGGATTAATTTTATCAAAGAAGCCTTCCGGTTGTTTCATGTAAATCCTTTCATACAAATCACCATGTAAAAATGCAGTTTTTACATCTAATTGTTTCAATTCCCAATTGAAATAGGCAACTAAAGCAAGCATGAGCCTTATAGTAGAATACTTAACAACATGAGCAAAAATTTCATTGTAATATATTCCCTCCTTTTGTGTAAACCCCTTAGCAACTAATCTTGCTTTAAATCTAACTCCATTTTCATCTTGTTTTACTTTGTAAAGCCATTTACAATCAACAACAGAACTGTTAGCTAACTTTGGCACCAAAATCCAGGTTTTACTATCCTTTAATGACTTCATTTCTTCATTCATTGCATTAATCCACTCATTTCTTTGTTTTTGATTTCATAGCTTCACTATATGAACTTTGTTCATTACCATCTAATGATTCAAACACATTATAAGCTAATGAGATAACATCAACATCAAAATCATCTAACCTAGGAGGCTGCCTTACATTTCGCCTAACTCTATCCCTAGCAAGTTGATAATTTTCCAGATTTTGATCAATGTTTTCAGCAATTCCAGATTCAATTTCCTCACTAACATCAACAGAACTGACTCCCGGATCAGCCTTTGAATTTCCAGAATTAAAATCTGGATCAGAACTGGCTGTTCTGGTATCAGTTCCATTTGAGGCATTATTATCAAGTAATTCAGCCTCTAAATTGGCTAAGGGGGTGTTTGGCAAATAGCTTTTTGAAGAGCTTTTAGCTTATTGAACAGCTTTTAGCTGTTTGACCAGTCAAAAAGCTAATTTAGGTGTTTGGTAAATTAGCTTTTTGGAATAGCTTTTTGGACCCAATAAGCTAATTTCTAAAAAGCTAACTTACCCAGCGTTTTGAAATAGCTTTTTCTGTAAAAAAAAAAAAAATTATTCCTTATATGCCCTTAAAAATTTATTATACATTTTACACAAATAAATATATTTTGATCGTTTATTAGTTATATTAGAATATTTTATTATATTATAGTTTTACTTTTATAAATTTAAAATAATTAATTTTTATATAAAAATTATTTTAATTGTAAAATATATAAATTTATTAAAATAAACATAAAATAAAAAATATAAATATTAATAATTTATTTTTTTATTAAAATTACATTATATAAATTTTATACTAAAAATAAATTAAATTTATTGAAAATTATAAATATAATGAACTAATCGATAACTAACATAATAAATATATGCACGAAAAATTTATCATTTTATATTTTACATAATTTTCAATAAAAAACTATTTATACATTTTAATAAAAATTTATTATTTTTTAAACCTAACTGTAATAAAAATAAATACTTTTATAACACTTTTACAATTTCCAATAACTAATAACAAAAAATTTTAAACATTCTAAACTCAAAAGAACATAATTGAATATATTAGAAACAAGAATAAAATAAAAATGTCCTCAATTGTCATTTTACATATAAACAGCTAATATCAAACAGTTGTTTTACCAAACATTTTAATACAAACAGCTAATCGAATCAGCTAGTCAAACCAGCTAATTGAATCAGCTAAGAACTATCAGCTAATTGAATCAGCTAACAGCTAACAGCTATCAGCTAATTGCCAAACACGCCCTAAATTATAATGATTTTGCTCCATCTCATTTTGAGTATCATTAGAACCATTAACAACAATGTTTTCATCATTTAAAATCTGATTTTGCTTCAAACAGGGCATTTCATTTTCATTAAATGCTACATCTCAAAAGCAGTCACATTGAACATTCAGCAGTAACAGCAAACACTTCACCTAAGCCATCATCATGAGAAATCAAGTTTACTTGTTCATTTGAAGAAGTATTAATAGGGGCTGTTCCATTTCTAAAGTTATTGTTGTTGTTATTCAAGTTTCTATTATTCTTAGGACAATTTCTAATGAAATGTGAAGTGTCACCACAATTAAAACACCGTTCGACATACTTTGAAGGGGTTTGCGATCTATTCCTAGACTTACTTCTAGACTTCTTCTTATGTTGACTATTGTAGGAGTTATTCCATTGCTTATTGTTATTGGAAAAAGAGCCATTCTTATTGGGTCTAAAGGGAGATCCACCCCTAACATGCATCACCTCACCATACGACTGTCTATTAGCTTTACTTAGTTTCAAATCCACTTCTTTACTTTTTAGACCATTTACCACAACATCTAGAGTAATCACATCCCTACCATACTTTATAGCTGATTTTACATCTGAATCTGTACTAGGGATTACATTTAACATGACAATAGATTTGTAATCATCTATATTTTTATCCCCTGTAAGTTTTATATCTTGAATTAACTTGGAAAAAACATCTAAATTTTCATCTATTGTCTTTGAAAGGTCTAATTTGAAGCTAAAGAATTGCTCTAACAGATGTATCCTATTTGGAAGAGAAGTTTCAGTATACATATGGTCAACTAGGTTTAAAATATAAGATCCTATTTTCCTAATTATATGGTCAACTAGGTTTAAAATAATGCACGAAGTTCATCAAGCTCAAACCTTTCTTCAAGAGAAAGGTCGGTTGCTTGATCAGGTTCCACGGCTTTTATCAATCTTTGAGTTACAATGACACTTCTCATCTTTTGTTTCCAAATTGCAAAATCAGATTTTCTATCAAAAGGCTGTATATTAAAGAATGCTTGACCACCCATGATTTTAAAAGAGGAAAAACAATCTGTTTTAGGTAAAAAGACAACAACAGACCAAATTTTCACAAAAAACAACTGTTGGTCCTTAAAAAAAATTCAGAGATCATTCAACACAGATTTATTGTTTATAATATCTCATCAAAAGAACCACCAGGTAGGAATGCACCAAGAACAGAGGAAATCTGAATATTAACTAATCCAAGGGTTAGTTTCTTGAGAAAACTAACTTAGGAGTAGTTAATATTACCTAACACAATCAGATTTGCACAAACTGCTCTAACTAACACTTTAAATGTCACAGCAACCTCAAACAGCCACACTTAGCACATAAACAGTCACTTAGCAGACTAAAATTGCCACACTTAGTCACCCCAAAACTGAAATCTCAAAAAAACACGCAACAAGGTTAGGAATGTTACCCACTCGAAGGTCCACAACTATTCTTTGACTTTCTTTTCGTAATTCAAAGCCTCCAACCTGTAAAATCCTTCCAACTGCGCACTTAATAGACAGATTAGTAAAGTTTGGATGAATAAATCAACAAGGAACTACACAAATCAACCAAATAAGAATGATTTCAAGTCCTAATCTTCTACAGGGCCTATCTTAGTCCTAATCAAGGAGATCTAAACTTTACAGAAGTGAAAAACTCCTTTAAAAAGCAGTTTTCACTTTGACATAAAAGTAAACAACCAAGACTTCAAAAAAAATTGAGATTATTTACTCAAAACCTTCGGATTTTACAGAGAGAACTAGGTGTTCACTCCAGGAACTCGAAAATCACAATTCGAGTAAACTAACAAGCCCTAATAGCTCTGATACCACTTGTAGATGTAATACAGGACCTAATACTTGTAGTTTACAATTAATCGAACACATACGAAACAAGAAACATCGAATCTTTTATATACTTTCAAAATCAAAGGAGTTCGGACTCAGTTTACCCAAAGTTCCAACCGAATAGCAACATATACACACAACCTCGACCCAAACACTACCGACATCCATAGAAATGCACAATCAACGCGATTACCAACCTAATCGAAAGAAATCTCAAGATGCTAAGACTAAATCATCGCGGACAACCAAATAACACCATGAACAGTACATAAAGGCATAATCGAGAAATCAAACCGAAGAACAGCTTTAGGACAAGCTGTAACACAACCACGATGGATGAACTTCAAGTTCCGATGGCCAAACTCGCCGGAATGCCAAGAACAGGTTGATCGCGTTCGTCGGGGAAGTTAGGGCTCCAGAGAGTGAAATCGCGATATGAAGGAGTGAGGAATCTGTCTATCCAGCGAACCGGGGAAACCAAAATATATTAAGACCCCATGGACCGGTTGAGGGCAGTCCAGGGTGGTTCAGGCCAAACAAACCCAACATCCAATTCATCACTCAATCGGGTCGAACCGTGGGCACATGATCCAGGTTTCGATAGGCTGGGTCGGGTTAAAGTGTAATATGCACAAACCATCGCAGATATGAATTGATTTGATAGGTGAAATGATTGTGTAGGATAATAGGTGTTTTTGGATTTTTTGTTTTTTATTTTTTTTATGATGAAAAGGTGTTTTTGGAATTATTTTTAATCAATATTATAAATAGTAATAAAGAAAAATAAATTTGGGTTATTACCGCTTATTATCCTGTTCACCAATTGTAAATTTCTAAATTCTGATCTCAATTTCATCACATCCAGGTTTTTTTTTTTTTAACACAATGTTTGAAGCGACAATTTTTACATAAACCAGCTACAATTATTAAGTAGGGTGGGGAATCATTGGTAACACGGGTGATTAAAGTGTATCGGAAGAATAGAAAAAAATTATTACTTTCGCATGCGAGCGTGTGAAGGTATCACAACTGCGTGGGGTGGAACGAAAGCCGCCGTCATTCCACCTAACTCCAAACTGAAACCCCCCGAAGT